GGCTCAAGGATGTGAAGAAAAGGTATGTTCTTGCATATTAGTATCTTCTGGCGGTCACACGTCAAATTTCTTTTTTTCGCGGCTTAGAAAATCTTCCTTATATAGTTTTCATCAAACTAGAGTGCAACAAGTCGGTCTCCAGAAAACATGTGACCAGACTAGATTGCTACATATAAGGATAAACTAGCTTGCCTGAATTGCGATTATTTTTATTTGATACTAATTCTTCATTTACTAAGACAATAAAACAACTAGCTAAATATCGTCGCATTTGTATTTAATACAATGCTTTTTTTGACAAATAATTAGCTATTGAAAGTAAATAAGCAGGACTAGAATATCTTATTGAAAGTGGACAGGAAGACAAAGATGTCGTTGCTTTAGGCTTGGTCATAGTTTTCTTCAGCTGTATATTGTTGGCTTGATCCCATTTTCGCAATTCGGTCGGGGGGATGGAGAAACCATGGGAAACGTATCTAGTTCTTCGTCCTCTGCCATAATATTCATGCTAATATTCAGTATCTGACCGCTGACTTGGTACATCTTATGTAACATTTGTATAATCTTAAGGGATAGGACAACGCTCTTCATCAGCTTGCCAACATAACAAAAAAATCACTAAAATGGAGTGCTCTGAAGAATAATACATAAACCACAGGCACTATAAGCAGACTAAAAGGTCAATCAGCACAAGGATTAATGAACACCAGCGACTCTGCAGAACCATGGATGCGGAACTATCAGAGATTATTGAATACATTGTTCTGAATGGTTTTAAGATTGAATTGAATGAAGTGGCAAGAATATCCTAATTTTGGGAAATTACGCTAAAACCGAAAGGCAGGGAACCATTTTGGCATCCTATTTTAAATAAATCTAATGAATAGAAGATTGAGGAAGGGAAAAATCAGCGAGTATTCCGCTTATTTCATGATTTTAAAACATTCGGGATTTAGCAAGGACAGCTAAAGAAAGACGCTTGAACCAGGTCTATTTATTTACCAGCAGGAAGAGAATCATAAGGGGCAAATACAAGTCAAGAGAAGGCAATTGCAATGAGAGTAATTTTATCTACATTCAGCTTAAACAATTTTATTCCCTTTCGGTGTGGGCCCAACGGAGGGATATAGAATTGATAATCATAATCGTCCGTGTAGG